CCACTCTCCCACTGTATGTTTGTATTAGGGCTGAAGAAAAAAAGCCAATCCAAAACAGCAAACCAACCTAACAACAACAACAAATCCAGTATAATCCTAAAGCCATCAGGGAAGAAGGGAACACACACACACACACACGTATATGTATGTATGTATGTGTGTGTGTTCTCTCTTGTTATCACCTCTTGTAGCTAAATTGAGGTGAAATAAGAATAGAAAGTCCAGAGTAAATAAATTTATGTATATCATTAGGATGGTTGATTATGGAAGGAAATAAACTAATGATGCTATAAATTTACATAGAGGATGGAAATTAAGGCTGGCTTATATCTCCTTGCCCTATTGATTTCCATTTCTTCCCAAACAAAGTAAAGTGTCTTTCTCATCATATTTTACTGCCTTAATTTCTTTCTTTTGAAACACAGGCTCTAGATTTAGGCTTGAACACAAATCGACAAAACCAAGACCAACATAAGTTATTTGGTCGGTTTTCAGTTAGCAATTTTTGAAATCCTAACTGACCAAACCAAAACCGATTGATTAACAGCTTTGTGCGAATAACATGTGATATTCATTACTTTGCAGGATGAGCATTCTCATGCCCATCTAGCAGAGCAGTTCAAAAAGCATAGCACTAAGAGAGTCTATGTTGCTCTTACTTGTGGAGTGCCAGCACCTGCTTCTGGACGCATAGATGTTCCAGTAGGCCGTGATCCAAACAACAGACTTCGTATGGCTGCTGGGTATAAATTGAGGAATAATGGGAAAACCCGGGATGCTGCTAGTAGGTGATTAAAACCTTTCTTCTTGTTTTCCTTAGAGAAGGATAAAAATATAAAATGGATCAGATTGACCCCAGATCCCAACAAAGTTGGGATTTTACTAGCTTTGTTTTTGTCCAATAACAAAACTGCATTTCATTGATATAATCAGATATTTGTACTCCCGTATAATAAAACTCATAACTTTCAACTTGATGATATCTATAGGTTATTACAATCCTTATATAACAAAGAGGGCGGTTCTTTTGACACTGGCCACCAGTGTCTCCATTTGGGGGGCCTACGATGTTCTGTTTGACCTCGTAGTGGTTCTTGTCCCTGTAAACTCCCTCCCCCACAAACTCCCAACTTGACCTGCCCCTTGCCTCCACTCAAGGGTGCTAGGGGTGGGATGAGGAGTTTGTGGGGGAGGGGGTAGTAACCACTTTGGGGTCGAACAGAGCACCGTAGGGTGCCCAAAAGGACCGGGTGTCATATTATGACACACAAACCCAGTGTCAAAAGACTTTGGGCGTATAATGATATAACTGCACTGAACTAAATAAAAATGGTAAATCCTAGAGTTTCTATAATTTTAAAACTTTTATAAATTCAAAATTCCAACAAAAAATAACAGACTTTTAGAATGTGGAAGTATAGATGTAGGGTGACCTCCCCCATTCCTTTCTTTGCTATGTGTGTCAGGTGTACTACTGCTACACAGATGCTATACTAAATTTTTGAGGGGAAAATTGAACTTTCAGATACCAAGTAATTGAAATTCTCGCCGGTGGTGGTTCTGCTTTGGTTGAATGGAGATTGGAAACCGGGCGCACTCATCAGGTGCTAGTGACTATTACATCCTTGTATAAAGTTATAAACCACTCAATGTTTATCGTTTCAAAATATATGCATTTTAGTAGTCTTCAATTTGACATTTTTTAGGACATGTGCTAGGTTCAATTTGACATGGTAATGGAGTGGTGGTTTGTGGGGTGCCAGTGCCACCCACTCAAGGATTGGGGGTTAATTTGGGCCCATTTGTCCCTCTCTCAATTTTCCATCCCGGTTTTTGTTTACAGGGTGTGGAATAAACCTCATAACGGACTGGACAGTTCAATGATGGACAAATGGGCACAAACTAACCCCAAAGGCTGCCCGGGATCCTTGAGTATTGTTTAGGTGTTAGTTAGTCCAACCGCACAACACTGATATTCAAATTAGTGTATCTTGAAAATCAGATCCGAGCACATGCAAAGTACCTCGGCACTCCCCTGTTAGGCGATGAGGTTTATGGAGGAACAAAGGTCATGGCTCTCTCATTGCTTAAGAACCGGTGCCCTTCTAAGTTCCATGGCAAACTTCTGCAACTAGCCTCTAGTTTGGAAAGGCCTTGTCTCCATGCTTTAACTCTTGGGTGATTTTTTTTATACACTCAATTTGTAATGTTTGTTATTTATTCACCTAAAGTACTAGTGTAACACACTTTTTAATACTTTATCGTTGTATTTTTCTTCTTTTTATACGCAGGTTTACACATCCAAAGACAGGGGAGAGTGTACACTTCACTCAGGTACCGCCTGCAGATTTTGCTGAGATTTTAACTCAACTCCGCACCATTAACACAATGAAGGTATTGTAGAATATGAATTCATTGTCCCATAAAAAGTCTCCACATTGACCCCTCACTCTTATTAATGTGGGACCTATAAGTTATTACCAGAAAATTGAGTGTACCCCAGAGTAATTTTTCCTGATTAAGTTGTGTGGTTGAGATAGCTATGCAGAGATGAGAAATAATATGTATCGCACCGTTCTTCCTTCAAAAAGAAATGTGGTTCGTTTTTACCATAAAAGTGGAGTATGCTTTCAAAGAAGATAATTTGCATATCTTTTTCTATTTAGAGGTTGAGTATTTGATTTCAGTGAAAAGAAATAACTGAAACGTTCATTGAAGACCCTCTTCTCCAAGATGAGCTTTTCAAAGAAAGCTTCAAATTGGAGCTTCTTGGAAAAAAGTGTTTGGCAAAACTTGTGACATTCTTCTAGGGTATTGAGTAAGATCCAATTATAACTTACAACAACATCATCTCAGTGCTTCAAAGGCTCCAGCCCATTGCCCCAAAGGCTTCAAATGGGATGTACAAAATCACTTAAGTGAGTGAATGGTGTAAAAGCTAATGCCATATCATTGACGAATAATTTAGGAAGTTCATACAAGTCTCGCATCAAACAAAATCTAGTACTCCCTCCGTTTCAAATTAAAGTATATGTTTACAATTCACATGATTAAACATTATTTACTTCCTGAGATTATTTTCGTTACTCACTTGATAAAACCATATAATATGGTTATGTTGTCACTTGTTTCATATATCTTTTGGTATACTCTCTCCGTCTCAAATATAAATTTATACTCCTTCCGTCTCAAATTGTAAATCACATTTCGAACAACGTGCAAAGTATTATCACTCTTAAAATCATTTTATTTGTAAATTGGTAGAGCAATAAATATAAAAATTACACCGCTCAAAAATAGATCAAAAGTTCTACAGAACAAGATGCGACAAAAATATTTTATTTTATCAAACGGTCAACTAAAACAAGTAAACAAACAAAAGTTATTGAGAGGTTGAAATAGTAATTGTTGCTTACATTTTGGGGCGGAGGGAGTAATTTTTATCTTTTAATTCTATCCGAGTTTCTAAATAAACTGATTCGAAAATAGTTCAATTGAACATCGTAAACAATAACATGTAATTTAAAACAAGGCGGAGGGAGTAAATTAGAATGTGGGTTACTTTTTCCATTGACCAAAAGATAGAATCACACAATTTTACACCCGGTATTAGAATCAAGACTTGAGTACTCAGAAAAGGAAGTCAGCAAGTGACACTTTAGAGAAACAGATTCAAATTGTGCTTGGGAGAAATGGTTGATGACATAAAAGTCCCACTTCAATATAAGAATGTGAGTTAGTTTTTTCATTAGCAATTTGGTTGAGATTAAATTTCACAATTCTATGGTGGAGAACTTTAATACTCCATGAGTCCATGTTGTAGAAAACTTCCATTGATAATGCTAATGGCATATTGGTATGTACTCACAAAGGTCAAAAATGGCATAAAATGTCAATGGATTTAAATTAATAATGGAAATAAAAGCCCAAACGAGCACAAAAGCGAACATTGGGATGTAATGCATTTTTAAATACTATTGATTTTATTACAATGTAGTATTTGATCATAATTTCTTAATCTGATGATGCATTGTGAGCTGATGCTTTCATCTACGCCAGAACTCGAAATTGGATGACCTTCCTCATAAAGTATGAGAGGTGAGCTTCCAACCATTCAAGTCAAAGGAGAAGCTCTAGGATGTAGTGTTATATAAATACAAAATAGTAAAATGAAACCCCCCCCCCCAAATAAGAGTAAGAATGTGTTCCGTTCGCCTGGTCTAATCTGATTTTTTGATGATCTGGTCTGATTTGATTTAATTGGAGTTATAATTAAAGCTGTTTCTGTTCTAATCTGGTCTGATTTGATTTAATTGCATTTATAATTAAAGCTGTTTCTGATTTGATCTGCTGGTCTAATCTGATTATAATAAGAATAAGTAATAAACAAAAAATAAGTTGAATGGAACGCTACCTAAATCATTAGGCATATCTCTAAAATAGGAGTCCCTAACTTAGGGTGTCGGTGTCAGCAGTATGACGCAGTTGAGCAACCATTGATGGAAGTTTGTTAAATCTCTTAGTGTTTGTTGGCTGGTTGGAATTCGAATAAATTTAGTTTGGGCGGTAGTAGAGTCAATGTGTTTACTCTTATTTTGGGGAGTTCTCTTTTCTACTTCTATTTTGGTATATTATCAATGTTTTATTCTAATTTTGCTCCTTAAATAACCCTATAGTAAACGATGAAACTATGATCTAATTTTCCTGCTTGAGCCACGGGTGGAAATAACCTCTCTACTTTCAAGTCATGAGCGGGTTTAACGTGCCTTTCAGGTTTAACCTCTCTACTAGACGTACAAGTGATAACAATAGATGACAGTTTGAGCATTATCAAGACTTCAAGTGGGAGATTGTTGAGTTTTTTGGAAGCTCAATTTCAGCTTAGTTTTTAAAATTCTAATCCATATTAGTTTCCTTAGGGAAAAAGTTGTTAACCTCGATCTATCTATATATATTGAAATCTTGTATTTGTAATTTTTTCGTCACGAGTGGTGAGACGCTAATCAATAAAAAAATTAATGGTTACAACAGTATATCAAAGAAACCGAACCACGTAAGTATTTGGAAAAATGATCGAATCAACAACGTAACGAAACAATCAATTGATCAATTTTGGCGAGAGCAATTGTTGAAATATTAGAATAATAGTATTGCTCATTAAATTACAAAGTACATGGAAGAGTATATATGGATGAAAATTAATTAAAGTACAACTTTTATTATAATTAGGAATACTTAATAATACTCACCACAACAGCGGTCAATACACCCACCTATGCAGGAGTAACATGCATTACAGCCACAATTCTCAACGCACCAAGCCAAGGGGTTACTGCATGCATGAAGCCAAATCACTAAGTTATTTAGCGCAAATTTTACTTTATTCTTAACTCCGTCATAAGTACCCTCTATTTAATTATCTGTCACTTTTTTTTCCCAGAATTTGTGAAAGAACTACGGGAGTACGTATGTAGTATTTGTGAATATTAACAAATTTTCTTTCTACTTGATAATAGTTAGGGTGTTGTTAAATCCAATTTTGTAGTCAAAGTGTGTAATTTTTTGACCAATTACTATTCGAAAAGGATAATGTTTTGTGGAACGGGGGAGTAGAAGGTATTAGATGCTAGCCAAATTTGTGAGGGTGAATTTGCCCAATGGAGTGGATTTAGTAACACTTTAATATTTATCCTTCATATACTACATGCTATTCGAGCATCCATTTCCAAGCGATACATCATGCATGAACAACTTTTAAATACTACTCCATCTAAAAACCTTTCTCCTCTCTTTTTCATCCATCCCAAAAAACACTTCTCATTTCTATTAAAGGTCAGTTTTACCCCTTACTTTTTCATATCCTACCTATCACATCATACCTTTTTACTAATAATCTATCCATCAAAATACCAAAATACACTGTTCTTAAATCATATTCAAAATCAAAACTCTCATGTTTTCTGGGACGGAGGGAGTAATTTTTATCTGGATTGTGTTTATTCCAAAACTTTACATTTTTCTTGTTTTTTTGAAAAGAATAGTATTATTTTGATAAAATATTACTTTAATAGGGGTTATGGTCAAAACTATTAGGGTATTTGGCCAATTTGGGGAAAGAAAAAAAATATTATGTGTTTTAGAATAATCGTTTAGTTTTATTTAATTTTATGCGTCCAACTCAATGGATATAGATCATCAATTAAATAAAAATTGTGTACTCATACTATTAGGCAGTAGTCCTAATCATAGTATCACTTGTATTTAGTCAATCTCTAGGACTCCTATTCCTAGGTGTATTTGTATTTGTTAGACAATAATACTAATAGTACTTCTTGTAGTATTGCTTATGGTAGTGTTTCATTATTAGTCAGCTTCCTAATCCTATTTGTGGTAGATGTTGTATTTTAGTTAGTTAGACTTCATTCTTTATTTCTAGTTGTGTTAGGAGTCTCTCCTATATATACTCTATCATGTACTCCATAATTCAATGAGCAATAGTATTATTCCAATATTTCGATATGGTATCGGAGCATTTTATTTAAGGATAAAAGAAGGAAAAGAAAATGATAGTTCCTCTCCAATTCACCATATCAAAATCTCAAACCCCGAATCTTTTTTCCTTCACCAATTCTTAATCCACTTTTTTTTCTCTCAAATCACTCATTCTAATCATCAATCTTTCTTCTCTTTTTCTTTTGTTACCCAAAATATTCCAAAAAAAACAACACAAAAGCAAAGCCAAGAGAGGAAGTAGTGAAAGAGGAAAGAATACCTCTACAACCCTTCTAGAAAGAAATAGGGCATTGCCCGGATCCAAGAAAAAAGACAAAGAATGTCAAGGATCTTCAGTCAAACAGGCACCTCCAGTAGCCTTCTCTATTCTTCTTCGACGTCAGCAGCTAGAAGCGCACGTCAACCTTCTCTCCTCTTCTTCGACGCCAGCAGCTACCTACCCACGTCAATCTTCTTTCTTCTTCATCGACGTCAGCAGCTACAAGCGCACATCAATTTCTCTCTTCTCCAATGACGTTAGCAGCTACCAGTACACGTCATACTTCTCTCTTCTCCAACGACGTCAGCAGCCACCGGCGCACGTCAGACTTGTCTCTTCTCCAACGACGTGAGCAGCCACCGGCGCATGTCAAACTTCTCTCTTCTCAACGTTTCCAGTTTCCAGCTAGTGTCCAAGCTTTCTCTTGCTTCAGCCAGAGTTCAGCTTGAGGGGGGATGTTAGACAATAAAACTAATATTACTTCTGGTAGTATTGGTTATGGTAGTGTTTCATTATTAGTCAGCTTCCTAATCCTATTTGTAGTAGATGTTGTATGTTAGTTAGTTTCCATTCTCTATTCCTAGTTGTGTTAGAAATCTCTCCTATATATACTCTGTCATGTATTCCATAATTAAAAGAGCAATATTATTATTCTAATATTTCAACATGGTATCGGAGCCACCGCTCTTGGTGACATAAAAAAAGTTCTTTGCTCCCACCGCCGCCGCCGGTAATTCCGGCGACGGCGGCTCCACCCTATTCACCTCTATTTTCTTTTTCTTCTTTATCTTCAAATCAACTTCTCCATTCAAATGAAAAAAAAAGAAAAAAAAACC